TCTCCTTTTCATCTTCTAGCTGACACTGTTTATGTCAAGTCCAACAAACCAAGTAGCAGAAGTCCAAACCTCCCACCACTATTGCCCCACATAAATAGTTCCAGACTCAACCGTTTGATTTTAATTTTTCCATGAAATAAATGAAGCGTTTAAAATCCCTTACTGGGACTCCTTCGAGGACAGGATATTCTCACGATTCTTCAAGAGCACTATGACTTTTTTAGAGTTTCTGACGCGCAGGAAACAAACCACTGGTGGCACACCATGCCACACACGATGGCTAGGCTACCAGTGGCAATATCATGTTCCGTTTTCATCTCTCCATGATAATTAAATATCAGGGGAGACAGGTAGATAAACTACTCTGAACTTACCTAATTGCGAAGCATGATCCCTGGCTTGAACATTAACTAAGGGTTTCCTCGGGTGTCTTAATTAATTATTTTTCTTCACGACAATTTGACAGCATGTAAACTGGCAAGATTTTGGAACCTCAGCACTAAAACACATTTTTGATCTCGAAGTGTCAAAAAGCGGCATAATCACCACCTCCTTTAGTTTTTTTCTTTCCTAACAGTGGTTCACTCTCACTGTTAAAAATGCATGTCCTATATCTAATTCAAGTGAGTCTGGCTTATGCATAGCCAGAACCAGGACTGCAAGCCTCCCTTTACAAGACTGATGAACAATGTAGCAGTATCTGGTATTTTTTCCTTGACTTACATATTGGGATCAAGTTATCTCACTGTTTTGTTTTCGATAAAATAAACAGACTAGACCTCTGTAGACTATCAAATCAGAAGGGACCATCATGATGGAGATCAATTTCCTGTTTAGGAGAAGCTGGAAGATTTATTCACATTAGTTCTTGTTTTAACTATACCATAGTTTTCAATATCGGCATTGGACAACCCCAGAAGCCTCAACAAAGCTGCTCCAACAGTAACTGCTTTTAGCCCATTGTTTAATGAAGATTTTCTTCATTAAAAATAAACAAACACAGAAACACATAAAGGTGGAAGGAGGGAAGCAGAAGGGGGTTTCACTCCAGATCTGTTTCCTCATCAGGCCAGCAATGCAGGTAACCAAGTAGTTGAATGAGCAGCAAGAAACAGACACCGCTTAAATCAACCGTCTTCCTGAAAAAAAGCATTCCAGAAGAACAGCTTCACCTGTTAAAAATTCTAGAGCTTGTGACAGGCCTAAGCTCTCAGTAAATTCTTCAAAATTTATTTTTTTATGTGCAGAAACATATTGATCTATGTTCCTTCGTTCCCAAATGTATGACCGAATCCTATGTTAATGCCTCTTGTTTCATAAAATGTAGCTTATTACGCAATGAGGATGACTCGATAACAAGAAAGACCAATCATAAACCCACAATCTACATGAAATAATTTATTTTGTTCTTCTAGAACTTTAATGGAAATTAGATATTGTTGGCTTGCGATTCTAAAAGACCATTAGAAATGTATCTTTCATTACAGTTTCTCATTAACGGTGAAATAATTTGTGATTCCTCCAGCACTGTGTCAATTCTGCACAATACTAATTACTGTAATTAGGATATTGTCAATTAACTTCTAAATCTCAAATCACGGCAATGCAACTAACTTAACCAAGTATATAGGCTCAAACAAAACAGTAATTTTGAGGCAACATGAGTTTTCATATAATCATATTTCATACAATCACACTGTGATTCTATCAGTCTTTCACCTAGCCTGGAGTAAGAACTAGTTAACAACACTTGTACATAGAAAGAATTTAAATGGGGATTTGCTCATTTTCCTCCAGTCCTCTGAAAGCTTCATAATATTTTAGCATTACTGAAAAATTGAGTCAGTAATTTAGAGATCTTCAGTGTCAAATCCATCAAGATTCCAGCTACACTGATGATGACCTTCCAGTTCTGAGCTGCTTAGTCTTATGAGGGCACATAATGTTATTTGGAGGCCTTTACTGCACTTCTCTACATCCAAAATCTTTAAAGCAACAGCATTTAGACTGAATTTTCACCACTTTAATGGTTAGCTACAGGAAAATTACAACATTTTTAATGTACTGTCCTTATATTCTCTAGTCTAATTGCTTCCAGGGATTTTGAAACTGTTGAATATAAGCAATAAGGCTTAAGTAGTTGTTATTAGTCATTTCTCCAATTGCAACAAAGCATCTCTTCAAATAGAAAGAAAAGCTCCATTTCCAAATAAAAGTTGTAGCAGAAGGAATACAACATGCTCTACGTTTTACCTTTTAGTATTGAAGCCACACCACAAATTTGTTGGGACATCTGCTTTCACTAATACATCTACTTCAAACAACAAGGATGTTGTTCTCCAACAATACTTCACTTCATTCCTCTAAGTGCCTCAGACCAATAACTTACAGAGCTATCATAAAACCTTCCAGAAAGTAAGGTAAGCACTTGACATGTGAAATTTTGCAGTAACCCACTATTCTAGCTTACCATTTAAACTCAGAGATCACAATAAATGATGTACCTCATTAATAAAGGTCTATCTGCAACACAGCATGTTGGGACGTACTGCAAACAAGTCGT